GATGGTTTGGCGCGAGATCAGTTTTGTGGTTTTGATGTGGCTCTCATTAATGCTTTGCTCTCAAAGGGGTTTCGTACTGTGAAATCTATCCCTCCCAAGTGTCATTTGGGGTTTTCTCGGATTCTGAAAGGTGCTCTTGATAAGGTGATCTCTAACCCTAATGACATTTCTAGTTGGGTATCGTTGTTAGTGTCACCTCTTTGCACCCTTAAAACCTTTCGGCTGCGGAGTAGTCGTGAGTCAAGGTCTTCCTTAAAGCGCCGGCATCAAGAAGAAAGTATTTCCCGGGCTATTTGTTCTTGGGGTGCACCAGGTGGTAGTGTGCAGCTTGTGAGGGAAACTTTGGCTGAGGATGCTCCTACTATGTCGGTGGTTGATGATGAGGACCTTGATTTGGAAGAGCGTAATATCAAGCAGTGTCGTAAGAAGATTTGTGATGGTCATTACACCGCTGCAGTCCGGGTTCTTTCTTCTTAAGGTGTTGCTCCGTATAATGATGTCACTCTTGCGGATTTGCTTTCAAAACACCCTTCTTCTTCACCTCCTTCCTTGCCTGCTGATATTCCTGTTGATCAACTTCATCTCGTTATTTCCTCTGCTGTTGTTTTAGATCGGATTCAGAGTTTCTCGCGTGGCACATCGTGTGGTAGGGATGGGTTACGTGCTCAACACCTTATGGATTGCTTGAGTGGTGGAGCGATGGCTGTCTCAAACGAGTTGGTTGACTATATTATCGGGGTGGTTAATCTGTTTCTAGCTGGTAGATGTCCTGTGGAACTAGGAGAGTATATTGCTAGTGCTCCTCTCACACCCCTTGTCAAGCCCGGTGGTGGAATTCGTCCTATAGTTGTGGGTACCGTTTGGCGGCGTCTAGTTTCGAAAGTCGGTGTTGTTATGGTTGGGCAGTCTTTGGGAAGTTACTTTGATGGTCTTCAATTTGGCGTTTGGGTTTCTTCAGGCGGTGAGGCCATTCTTCATGCTGTGAATCGATTACTTGAGGTTCGTGGATCTGATGTTGGTCTTTCAATGTTGTTGGTGGATTTTCATAATGCCTTCAATCTAGTTGATCGTGCGGTCATATTACGTGAGGTCCGTCATCGTTGTCCGGGTATTTCGCGGTGGATTGAATTCTGCTACTCTAATCCAGCTAGATTGTATTATGGGGACCACACCTTATGGTCGTCTCAGGGGGTGCAGCAGGGTGATCCCCTTGGTCCTCTGCTTTTTGCTTTGGTTTTACAACCCTTGGTGTGTAAAATCAGAGATACTTTTGATGTATGTCTTCAGGCTTGGTATTTAGATGATGGCACTATTATTGGTGACACGTTGGTGGTGGGGAAGATTTTGTAGCTGATTATGGAGGAAGGGCCTCTTTTTGGGTTACATCTTAACGTGGACAAAACTGAAGTTTTCTGGCCTACAGAAGACCCCCGAAGCAGGCTTTTGGGTGTCTTTCCACCTAACATTGCTTGACCTTCGCGTGGTGTTAAGTTGCTTGGTGGTCCTGCTAGTTCTGATTCTGGTTTTAGTAGTGAGCTTGTGATGCAAGGGTGACCAAGACCATTGCGTTTATGGATAAGGTTGCTATGCTGGATGATACTCAGTGTGAGCTATTGTTACTTAGGGCTTGTACCGGAGTTTCTAAACTCTACTTTGCGTTGCGTACTTGTCCCCCTAGTACTTTTGAGGCGGCTCAGCGCACTTTTGACGAGGCTCTTCGATCTTCTTTGGAGCGTATTGTTACTGCTTCAGGACCTGGGTTTGGCGATTGGCAGTGGCGGCTTGCCACTTTACCATTTGCGTTTAGAGGGCTTGGTGTTTATTCTGCAGGTGATGTTCGGCATTATGCTTTTCTTGCTTCTCGGTTGCAGTCTACTGGGTTGCAAACAAAGCTTCTACGACATGCTGACATTGTTGGTCATGGTCGAGTTTTTGAAGACGCCTTGGGTTTGTTTAATGGCGTGGTGGAGTCTGATTTTTTAAGTAATCCTAGTGAGGTCGCTGCCCCAAAACTTATGAAGAAATTGGCAGATATATATTTCACGAAGGTTACCGATTCTGCAGAATCCACCTTTTCATTATCCCCTCGTCTATCAGCATTGTGGAAATCTCAGCAGGGAGATCACACGTCTGCTTGGCTTCAGGCCATTCCTATTTCAGGATTGGGTCAGACTATGAATGCAAAGACTTATCGATGTGTATTATGCTACCGATTGGGTGTTCCGTTGTTCTCTGCCTCGACACCGTGCTCTGCTTGTTCGAGGGTTTTTCCAGGGGATATTTTTGGCGATCACGCGGTGTCGTGTGCTGGTATCGTGGGTATTAAACATAGACATAATGTTGTTCGGGATACCCTAGTTGATGTTTGCTATCGTTCTGGGATTTCAGCAAGGAAAGAGGTTGATATTGGGTTGTCTGGAGGGAACGGTGATGCCCTCAGACCTACTGATGTGTTACTTTATTCTTAGGATCGTGGTCGCGATGTCTGTGTTGATTTGACAGGATCTTCTCCTTTGACACAGTCAAGGTTATCTGACTTTATTCCTGGACGGGTTGTGGCTGATGTAGCTCAGCGGAAGCGGGATAAGTTTGAGGCTCGTTGTCAGGCGATTGGATATGGGTTCATTCCCTTCTCCTTTTCTTCGTTTGGTGAATTAGAGAAGGAGGCTGTTGCGTTACTTAAGCAAATTCAGAGGTTCTCGACGACGCAAGACATTGGAGCACGTGCTGCAGCTCATATTTTTACTAGGGTAGGCTTTGCTATAGCTAGAGGAGTGGGGGCCCAGATTGTATCTCGGCTTCCCACTAATTTATTGTAGGTTGTATGACTTTTTGTCCTCCTCGTCTTTTTGAAACGGCGCAGGTTTCATTTGACGTGGCCCTTCGAGCTTCTTTAGAGCGTATTGTAACTGCTTCGGGGCCTGGTTTTGGTGATTGGCAATGGCGACTTGCCACCTTACCTTTTTCTTATGGTGGTTTGGGTGTATATTCGGCGGGTGATGTTCGGCATTACGCTTTCCTTGTGTCGCGTCTCTAGTCTTCTGGTTTTCAGGCTACGCTTCTTCGCGATTCTGGTATTGTTGGTCTGGGACCGGCCTTTGATGGTGCTCTTAGTCTTTTTAACAGGACTGTGGAGACTGACCTTTTGAGTAACCCTAGTGAGATCGCTGCCCCCATACTCATGAAAAAATTGGCAGATATATATTTCACGAAGGTCACTTCATCTGTGGACTCCACTTTCTCCTTATCTCCGCGTGAGGTTGCCTTATGGAAGTCCCAACAGGGGAATCACTCTTCGGCCTGGTTGCGAACGGTCCCGATATTGGGTTTAGGTCAGGCTATGAATGGTAAGACTTACCGTTGTGTTCTTTGCTATCGATTGAGTGTTCCATTGTTCTCCGTTTCAACACCGTGTTCTACTTGCTCAAGGGTTTTTGATGGAGATATTTATGGGGATCATGCAGTATCTTGTGCTGGGATAGTAGGTATTAAACATCGGCACAACGTTATTCGTGATACCCTTGTTGATATTTGTTTTCGGTCTGGGATTTCTGCTCGAAAGGAGGTCAACGTTGGGTTGACTGGTGGGAACGAGGGGGCGCTACGACCAGCAAATGTGTTGCTTTATTCCTGGGATAGAGGACGTGATGTATGTGTCGACTTGACGGGATCTTCACCTTTGACACATTCGGGGTTGTCTGACTTCGTTCCTGGTCGTGTTGTGTCGGCGGCGGCTCAGCGGAAGCGGGACAAGTATGGGGCACGTTGCAGGGCTAATGGCTATGGTTTTCTTCCTTTCTCCTTTTCTTCATTAGGGGAATTAGACAAGGATGATATTGCGTTGCTGAAGCGGGTTCAGGCATTCGCTAAAACTCAGGATATTGGTGCTCGTGCAGCTGCTCACATCTTCAGTAGGATCGGGTTCGCTATAGCTAGAGGGGTGGGAGCCCAGATTGTATCTCGGTTCCCTACCAATTTCTTGTAAATTGATTGAATTTGTAGGTTTTTTTTTAATTTTATAATAATAATAATAATAATAATAATAATAATAATAATAATAATAGTGGATTTGGATGGAGATCATGAGAGGAGAGAGATAATTTTAATGTAGTTTTTTGCCAAAAAAGGAAGTGTAACATTTATTAAAACACAGCCGAATTTGGTAAGTGTAACACTTACAAAAACACGGAGGGAGTATTCCCTTTTGTCACATAACAAGAAATTTGTATTCTATTTCAAGGTAACAAAAACTACGTACATGTCTATTTCTATTTAAAGAATACCTTGTGACAATATTCCACTCTTTTGTCATCATTTTTTTTTTTTTTTTTACTTTTGACATAGTTTTACAATACATTCTCTCTCTATTTATTCAATAATAATTTGTACTCTATAATTTTACGGTACATTCTCTCTCTATTTACAGAACAAAAACTTTTGACAATATTCCACTCTTTATATCTCTCTCTAACCTCATATGCATATTTGTACTTTCCAATCGTGTGTTTTAAGAAATTTCCAGCTTTCTTAATTCTCGTGAAAAATATAAATTATGCTTTTTTATTTATGTAATGGATGGAGTAAGGGCTTATTCGGTACAGTTCAGCTCAATTCTTAATTTCCTTCTCTCATAAATTATTGAGACAATTCAGTTCAATTCAGTCAATCACAACAGGCCCTAAGAATACGAAACAAGTTGAACCAAACCATTTCTTAACCTTAGGGGTTGTTTGGTTACACAAAGAAAATGGGGGAAGTGGAAAATCATGGGAATTTGAAAATACATGAGTTGTTTGGTTGACAATAAAAAGTGTAAATGAGGGAATTGCAAATTCATGGGAATCGTGACTTCCCACAAAATATGGGAAGTTAATTACCTAACCCCCCTAGGTAAGTCAAACTTCCCATGATTTGCAAATTCCCTCGTGCCAACCAAACAACTTTATACAATTCCCATGATTTTGATGTAGGAATTTAATTCCCATGAAATACAAATTCCCATGGGTAGTAATTTCCCATAGCAACCAAACGACACCTTAAACTTTGCTTAAACCAAGTTCAACTTCAATTGTACTTCCCTAATCCCTACAAATCTTCCCCTCGTCCCTCGTCCCTCGTCCCTCGTCCCCTTAATCTAACTTCAATTAGGATACACCCTAACCCAATCATTTTAAAACAAAAACAACATAAAAATATAAAATCCCTTCAACTGTGCATTCAATCACCCCCTCTTCTTTCCTCTTTCTCTCTCCTCCCCTACTCTCCTTCCTCTGTATTCTGCAATGAATTTCTTCAAATCTGTCTTCGCAGACGAAGACCCAGAACCCGATCCTCAATCACCACAATCTTCTCCCAAACATCAACAACCCCTTCAACCCGAACCCGAATCCGAACCCGAAGATCAATCCACAGCACCACCCACATGGGGTTTCGTCGGCGGCTTAATCAAAACCTTCGCAACAAAATCCGAATCCGTAATCGAAACATACCGTCGTGATTTGCAGGAATTTAGCTCTGGTTTAAAGATTGAAACCCAGGTTTTCAAAGAGGTTGCAAGTTCATCTCTCGAAGTTGGTGCATCAAAAGCGCAAGAATCCCTTGAATCTGTTGGTCAAGCAATTGATAATATTGGATCTGTTGTTTGGAAATCTACTGCTCAGATTATTGCTCAAGGGAGTGATTCGGATCTCGAGAACCCGGATTCGAGCCCGCGATCGAATCCGGGGTTGAATTTGAATCCAATTGATGGAAGGAAGTACAGTAGGTTTGATGCGCAGTTGAGGGGGATTCAATGTGATGTGAATACGTATGTTGAGGAATTTGAGGATGTGGGTGAGTTTGAGAAGTGGAAATCGTCGTTTAATTTGGGGGAAAAGAGTGAAGAAATGGGGAATTTGATGAGGGAAAATGGGGTTATGGAAGGGATTTATAAAAGGGTTGTTCCCAATTTGGTTGATCATGATTTGTTTTGGTATAGGTATTATTTTAGGGTTTATAAATTGGAGCAAGCTGAGAGTGTTAGGGCAAAATTAGTGGAAAGAGCGAATGAGGATGAAGAATTGAGCTGGGATGTTGATGATGATGAAGAAGAAGAAGATGATGAATTGAAACAACCTGATGTTGTTGATGGTGGTGATAATGTAGGGGAGGAGGAGAAGGGAGAGAAGGTGAAAGACGAAGGCGGTGTTGTTGAATCGAATGAAGAGGCGAAAACGGGAGGGAATGAGGAGGAGGAGGTGAAGAAGAAGAATGTGGATGAGAAGACACCCTCAGAGGGGAGTAAGGATAGTGATATAACAGTGGTTTCGACACAACCATCTCGAGGAGAGGAGGAAGAGGAGGAGGATCTTGGTTGGGATGAGATTGAGGATCTTGGTAGTGATGATGATGTTGGTGAGAAGAAAGGGAAGCAAACTGAGGGTGGTGGTGGGAGTCCGAGCAACCGGGAAGAATTGCGAAAACGGTTGAGTGTTGCTGAGGATGATGAGGATTTGAGTTGGGATATTGAAGATGATGATGAACCTATTAAGAAAAGTTAGAGAAAGGGTATGTTATAGTTATACTTTGTGGTTACATGATCATTTGATTTTTAAGAATGCAATTGTTATTTAAAAGCTTTGATATGCTTATTGTCTATTGTCATGTAATTGCTTAGTTTCAAATATATGCATTAGTTTAATTCTTTTGTGTGGTTTTAGTCCTTGAGTTCATTGTATAAAGTTATATGATTTGCTAAGAATGCTTTGTCATAAACCATTCGAAATTGAATACGAAGTACATTGCAAGAACAAGTAGTAGTATATTGATCCAAAATGTTGGAATTTGAATGAGATAGTAAGGGTTGAATTTTTCAGAGAATTGGGAGTTGCTAATATTGCTATCTTAGAGTGCCATATTCATCAATCAATTATTGATTTATAGAAGAATAATGGTACGATCTTTGTGACTACAAATAATGGATTCGTTGTGGATTATAGCTTGGTCGTTGTAATGATTATTGATTAGTAGAAGAATCATATGCAAATCTGTGTAATAACCAAAATGCTACAACTGTATATTGGAGATTGTTTTGGCTATGTTAATTCACTGCCTGATGTCGTTGTAAATTTGATAGAATCTTAGCCCAGACCTCACTGCTTTAGTTCATAGTTCTCATGGAATGTTTTTGAATCAGTGCAATGTACAAGAGATTATATAAGGTGATGAATCTGATGATAGGTGAAGCATAAATAAGGGTTAAAGCAGAAAGTGTATAGGGATATGGAAGGTGCATCTTAACTCGTTAAGCGATCATCATTGCTCAGGTTGTGTTATTATTACTCAATGAATCATTTAGCAATAAAAACCATTGCTGTTGAAGCCCACCAAGGCACCGAATGCACAGCAACCTGCGGTTAGTCCTATACCAGAAGTCCAGAAGTCTGTTTGGCCTGTTAATACTAGAATTGACCAGGGATTCACTGTAAATGCTGTCTTTGCTCGTTATTGCCAATATATTGGTCTGCTTCCTTACATTTATCTTGTAATGCCTGCAAATCATTGATAGATGAAAGGATCGTGTATGCTCTTTTAAGGACTAGCTAAAATAGATTACCTTTGTCTGTGCTGATCTACTTCAAGTGGTTATAGTATTTACTGTACTGAAGCGCTCTACACGACAATCTTATTGTTTTAGCCGTGGATTATTTTTTAATCAATACAACTATAACTTCCCATATCCTTTTACGTATCTTACCTATAATTAGATGTATAACAGCTGGTATAGGCTTATAGCGCAGCTTATGTTGTAGCGTTAAGCTAAGAAATATACAGTCGGGAATATCTGCAGTCTGACCTTATCCAGAGTGTCTACAGGTTTTTTTTGAAGGGAAGAGAGAAAGAGGATTATGTTAAGGGAAGAGATGAAAAAGAGACTGTAAAGATTGATTGGTTAATTAATTTGCAAGCTAATTAGTAATTACTACCTTTACTAGTACCGCGCAGAAGCATTGTAAACGCTGTTTCTGGTCTAAAACAATATCTACAGTTGTGTTGGAGTGTCTTTGATTCAACATGGACACTTGGATTGTTAGGCCAAAATAATTCGTCAAAATAACTTTATATATTACTAGGTTACTAACTTCATAATTAGTATGCACGATTTTCTACAGTCTAAAAAAAAAAGGTATTTTAGAATACCTCATTTTTTTTTTCTTTTCACATTCCTTTCTTCCTTACCAACCCTTGAACCCTTGTTCAAGTGTAACCAAGCAAATGATTTATGCCAACAAGACACAAGGAGGGTTGGTGTCTTCATGTGAAAATCATTTACTCTAGAGTATTGTCTGTGGTAACAAACACAAATTTTGTACCAAGTAAGGCTTGGCCTGTAAGGATTTGGACTTATGACTTAAGCCTTGTTTGGAAAAGTGTTTTTTGAAGAGTTTTTAGCTTATAGAGACATATTACTATATTAGAGGTTTGACCACCTTAAAAACCTAATTTCGTTGTTTGGAAAAGAAAAAAAAAATGAAATTAGCTTATTGAATATTTAGGTTTTTGGTTATTATATACACTTACAACCAGTCAAATCTAGGAGTGTCCATTCAGATAAAACCCAAATCCAAACCGAATTATCAATTCGGATCGATCCAAACTTTAAATCGGGTTAAATTCTTTTGAAAATTCGAATTTTTGAATCGGATCAAATTGACCTTATTCAGATCCAAAAAAACCGAAATAGAAAATGTTATTTTCTATAAAAAAAATAAAAAATAAAAAGTATTTGTAATATAATCATGTTAAAACTATTTTTATGATTATATTAGTATTAGTTGAGTAAACCTATGCTTTCAATACTTGTATTAATCGCGTACAACTATACTATCAAGAATTGAATTTTTATTATTGCATTTTTATTTTTATAATCGCATTAGCCCCAAAAACATTAGCAACATATTTTAATTCGGATTTTCTGGATCCAAAAAATCGAATTATAATTCGGATTGGATTTGGTAAGGAATTCGGATCAAATTGGATTTGATAATTAAAAATCGAAATTTGTTTCGGATCGGATTGGATTGGATTTGGGCTAAATCCAAACCGAAAACCAAATAGACAACCCTTACTCAAATCTCTAATACAACCAAATAGTCAAACCAGTAAAAACAACCCACAATATTAATCAACTATCAACTAATTACCAAACGAGGCCTTAATAATCCTAGGATCAAACCTCATTAATTAGAGGCTTTTATGGGGTGATGTTTCACTTTATCCTTATGGCTTACCCCTTCACTATCGAAATAACAGTAAATAGAAAATTTGGTTTTTGCATGACTGTGTACAATATTTCAATCTTTATAATTTATTGGAAAATTTGCAAATTACAGCTATTTAAAACTTGTATTTTGTAAATTGCAGCCATTTTAAAAAAAAAAACAAATTGCAACTCAAAGTTGTTATAAATTGTAAATTGCAGCCTAATTCAATTTTTCATCGATTTGTGTATCAAAAAATGTTTGTTTAAGGTTTTATATTTTTGTTATGCAAAACAAGGCACTTACGTTACTTTTTTGCCAATTCCGAGGTATTTTAGAATACCTCTATATTTTTCTCTCTTCTTCTTCCTCTCTCTCTACCAACCCTTGAACCCCTGACCTTGAGCGTATCATTAGAATGATTTTTGCCAACAAGGCACAAGGAGGGTCAGTGTCAATTTGTGACAAATATTTTTAATTATATTCTCCGATTTTTTGAGTCTTCGACACAAAGGCACCAGTGCAAAGGAATCTTTCCATAATATCAAAATGAGATTGTGGTTATGTACTCTAATCAAGTATTTTGACACGTTATCTAAAATAAAATAAAATAATGTGTAATAAATCGAGAAAAAAGAGTGACATGTAGCAAAGTTTTGTAACATAATACACCTTCAGAAAGATGGATACATAGATAATTAGATACACCGTACTTCATATTAATTTTTGTCAATGGGATTCAATATTAGTAATGTAATTAAAAGATCTTTCTTGGGAATTGAACGCAAAAAGTCTTCCACTAGTATGCAATATTGCAATCATGTTTTCCATAGGAGTTTAGATTGACAACTTGACATCAAATAGAAAAACCCGAACAAGTAATATTAGTCTTAAACCACTTAATTTAATTTGTACTCTCGCTGCCCTTTTTTATTCTACTCACTTTTCCAATTAGGTCCACCGAAAGTCCTAAATCAAATAATTGTAAAATTTTCCTCTTTATGACAAGTTATACACACAAAATACACAATTGTGTTTGAAGAAAAAATGATTAGTGCCAATCTTATCATAACAAATTAACAATGCTTACTTTAAAAAGTTTAGTCAACTCTTTAAGGAAACTAAAGTAAAAACGTAACGCAATATCTTAAGCTGTAGATTAGCATACTAAACACTAAAACCAAAAGGCAGAGAGAGTATTTGAGATGCTCACCATTTCCATTTCGTGCCTTCATCCTAAGCATTAGGCAAGACGTTATATCAAACACTTTATGTAGCATATATACAAGCCCAATTTCTAGCTCTATATGTGCATATGTTAAATTATTCGTCGACCACTGAGCAAATCTGAAAGCCGAAAGAAGACATGTCTGATGCCTTTGTGGTGCTCCTGATAATGGTGGGTGTAGGGATTGTGGTGGTGTCCATCTATGCTGCTATACGTTCTTGTAGAAGATCCAATTTTCTCACTTGCATTGCCAAGATCTAGCTCGATATTTTTCCAGGGTGGATCACAGTGTGTTTTTTTTCATGAAGTATAAGGGCGCTTATTTGCAGGGTTAGTAAATCATTCAATTTCTGGAACTTTGTCTGTTTCATTAACATGTATTAACATATTGTAAAAACATAGACAATGTAACTTAGGAATATAAGGGGATATATTTCACACAAGATGCTGTGTTAACACAGATTAAACACGAAGTAGAATAGCAGCAACAAGCAGCCAAGAAGGCATAGATTTTGGTTGCTAACAGCACCTGATGTAAATTTCTGCAAATAACATTAATGAAGATGGAAGCAAAACAGATACAATGTAAAATTTGATGAGTGTGAAGCGTAATACCAATTTTTAATAGACTGAAACACAGGAAATCAAGCACAAACTTGTCTACAAAATTCCCCATACAACTCTTTTTAATAAAGGCGGATAATCACTAGAGTACAAAACTGCAATTGCTCAATCTCATCAGTAAAGCTTGCTAAACATCGACTTTTAACTAGAACACAAACCACGGTGAAGTAAACTTTGTTTAGACACCAATAACTTCTGTGGTCTCACCCTCTGCGATGGTTCCCTCAGATGGCCTTTAAATATTTACACCTGTTTGATTGCAATGAAAATCACTGACAAGACTGGGATCAAGCTAGCTGTCTATGCTGTGAATTGCTTCACCAGGTTTCTTGGCCGTGACACTACATTCTAGAGCTTGTAGAGTCTGGAGCAAATAAAATGTGAAACTGATCAAATCTGAAGAAGCCTGCTGTATTTCTGAGCTGCTTGTTCTACATTTTCTACAGGCAAAATAAGTTAAGCAGAATGCTATAGAATGATACATCGCTGTCCTAGTGAACAGCTTCCATAAACCCTGTTGACATACCAAAGCATTATACATTGATAGCGCGCAAGTGCTGTTGCCTTAGTTCAAAGTGAAGAGAAAAATATAAGAATCAACTAAGACTTATATCATAAGCTCTTCATTATCCAAATTGAAGGGTGAAAAAGAAAAATTACAGAGAGCAGAGGAAAGCCTGTTTTCGAGCGATTAATACCCTCTGATTCTGTTTTTTGGGGGAAAGAGTGAGGGGGTGGGATGTTAGGAAGGAAAGCAGGGGAAGATCAGTAATGAACATGCATACTGTGAAATAAAATATTCATTAAAAAGGTAACCACAGAATTAATATAGCCTCAAGCCTTAAGTAATAAGAATAATTTAAAATCTTGTTAGCAAACATACTCTAACATAGATTAGGTTACTCAGAAGAAAACTACAAAGTATACGCCATCACGGAAAAACCTGTAGGCTCCAGCATACCAAATGCTTATGCACCTGCTTCCGAAGACCTCATCTGTTGCTGCAACTCCTCATCAGCATTCCTCAAAAATTGATCCCAACCACTTCCAGCGTTCATATCTATATAATCATAAGGAACCGCAGTCTTTAATCCTGGACGTACTGTATGCTGGCTTCCCACTATTCTACAATCAATATCTTCCTCTAACTTTCCAGCTAGCTCCAACTCTTCCCAAGTAAACAGTAATGGCAATGTAAATGCACCCCATGGATTAAAATCAATCAACTTGACCTTATTATCTTTCGTAACATAAACATCAAACGTGTAATTTTCAGATTTAAATTTCCCTTCAACATTATCCATAAAAAAATCATGGATCATATCTTTGAGCTCGACTTTCCTTTCCAGCACAGCAGGATAATAAGCAGTGACTTCACGTTGAGAAATTCCAATTAGCTGCTGAGCATAGACATAACAACGGAACTCCATCTCTGGTCTCAAAGAGGGGTACCATTTGCGCAGAGCAAGGTAAAAAAGTGGTGGTCTTGACAAAGTCTTGTCACTGCATGAATCATACGGATGGCACAAATCATGCACCACTGAATCAGACGATTTTAGTAAGAGAGCTATGTCACAAAATGATGTGCATCTGAGGGTTCCTGTAGAGCTAATCCAAGCAGCATCTTTTGGCGAACTCCAATTTAACTTGGGAAAGACAGCACCACCAAGGGATTCAATTGATTCTTTGATCTTTAATTCAAGTTCCGGGAAAGAAGGGGGAGATGGTGGTTGCTCTGATTCATCTTCAGATCCTTCTGACACTTGATAGTCCTCCTCATCTTCAGGTTTATGAATCCTATTGGGCAAGGCGTCCTCATTTGAAACTGAAATGGGAAGCAAAAGGGGGCCATAATCTTCACACAGATACTCAATAAAGGATTCTGGGAGTTCATGGACAACAGTCTTTAAAGAGACAGATTTAAATTTCGGATACCATTCTTGTATCTGGCAACAGTTCACTTCTTCTAACTTCATTTTCTGAGACAAAAAAGATAGCACAAGTAAGAGCAGAGAATAAATTTAAATAAGGATAAAACAATTACAGCACAAGAACTTGGCAATAAAATAGAATAAGAGTGTTGCACATAGTCATTAATGGTCTGTGTCAATATTAAAATTTAGTCTTTCCTGATACGAAAATCTATTTGGGAGGGCAATTTTTTCTTCTGATATTAATTGCACCAATATCCCATAATGACGATCCTACTTTGTTAATCAACCATCCTATATTGTACTCAATTTTTTGCAACGATTGCATTTTCATACACATCATTCATTCTATTTGTTGTAAACTCCAATGATTATAACTAGAAAGATAAACATAAAGTACAATATCATTAAGAACCAACCAAAGATACAAGACAAAATCCATCATAATATCTATTTAAACATCAATATGAGTTTGCCCAATTATAACTTTCAACAACCAAAACTTAGATCATACTTCCATAAAATGACATTTTACACCATCATAAATTCATAACAAATGCAAGTCATTTAAAAAAAAAAACAAAAAAAGAACACTCCAATCAGCAAGACATTTAAAAATTCTCTACAAAGCATAGAACCTCAAAACTCACCAAATAAACCCAAAATGAATTAAATTTTCTAGGCGACTTCTATCGGGTTGATTAAACAGTAGGTAGATAAATAAATCCTAGACTTTCAGTTTTCAGGGATAATCATTTGCTATGGTTGAGTGAATTATTATTAGTAATGAAACCCAATATAATTATTTTATCATGGTAACAACAAGGAATTCATCAAATAAATAGCAAATATGTATCAAGAGTCATAAAGCTGGTGAATTTTAATTTTTCGGCTATTTTGCAAACAAATTGATATTAATCCCAACTAGTTCTCAATGAAAGCATAATTAAACTAAACAATTGGATGAGTGTTCTGTTATCTAACCAGCAAAAATCCAACAAGACATATTTCATAATAATAATTATTAAAAAAAAAAAAAAAAAAAAAAAAAAAAAAGAGGGTTATTTGAACAATGCCCAGATGAATTTCAGCAAAATTATGTACAATTTTATATTTTTAAGGGCAATAAAATCAAAATTAAAGAGACAGTACCTTTGAAGCAACTATTCGACCACCTGACCGGCAATGAGAATAATCTTCTTTGTGAATTGTTTTAACTCTTTTGATTTCAAATTCTAGGGTTTATATAGATTTTTTTAATAGAGATTATATTAGATTATTAGAGTAAAAAAAAAATTATTAAAAAAAAAAAACCCACAATCACTGTGGTTATAATCTAATTTACTGTATTCGTGCAGGACCGAAACAGATCGACCCGGACATGACCAAAAATTAGAATTTTAAAAATCGAAAACCGGACTGCTTAAGTTAGGATCAAACGGAAACTCGGACCTGACCGAAAGAATCAGTCCAAAATCCGGACAAGACTGCTTTGGACCGATTTAAAATGTTTTTTAAAAAAAGAATTCTAATTTTTTTAATAATTTTATGAAAAACTCGAAAAAAGTAAAGGAATTCTATTTTTCAAAAAATATGCTGACCATAGGTTTTGTCGAATTTTCATTAATAATATCCCTCTTAAGTGTCGTGCTTAGTAAATGGCTGCGCAGAGAGCTGTCAAACATACACTTCTAATAAAAATACGACACCTCACCATCTACAAAATAAAAGAGAGGGAAATTATGGGGGGGAAATTTCAGACATTAACCGCCAAACTAAAATCTTAGGCGGGAGAAATGATTTGGCGCCAATGGTAAAAGATTGTAGGTCCTACCTTTCCCACCCACTTTCATCTTCAATTTATAAAATAAAATAAATAAAAATAAAATGTCTCAAAGGAAGCCATTAACATTACAACTTTTTCAGCCAAGTTTTTATTTTATTTTATTATTTTTTTTAAATAAAATCATTGGTGTTCAACAATATATTTCTTATTTGTGATGTTCAAGATCCTATTGTTCAATATTTCATTCTCCATACTCCATCTACAGTAAAGCATGTTTTATGTAATGATATTAAATCAATGAACTATAATGTTGTAATTTCAATTTTTATTGTTATCGTTTTTTTTAATAGTCCGACAATAATCTTTGTGGTTGTTTAATTTGAATCTTACAAATATTTTGTGTTATTTAAATCAAATGATCTGGTTTTGACAAACTTCTGGAATTGTACAATTCTGGTTAAAATTCACTATTTTGGTTCGACGAAGAAGAAGAATCGAGTTCTACGTGATGTTAAAATGTTTATATTAATTTAATAACAAATACAATTTTTAAGTATCTTGAATACTATATATTAGTAACTTGATAATGACACGTATATTATTTGTAGTATAATATCTAGAGTTACTAAACAAATGATGGAAATAAAATTCAAATACATTCCAAAAAAAAAAGGCACTTATAATTAACAAAGATAAGATTCGAACTCGGGACCAATGCATGGAATATGGTTTATACATTGCACTTGTAACCAAGATTACAGGATATTCATCATGTTAACAAATTTCTGCGTTAAATACTTATAAAACACATCGCTGTTATTTGCGAACTATAATACAAGTTTTCAATACTATTTAAATTCATATTGTTACCAAATAACAAACAAACTTACAAGAATATAATTGAAAATTATATTATTGCCAATAATTTGTTTTAATTTCAATTTTAATTATCATAGTAATGGACTACAAATATTTCAAAGATCGAAAAGCATGATGTCTTAATTTCAATTATCATAGTAATTAATGGAATTCAAAACCTTAATGAAATTCAAACACATTATGATAATTGTCGAATTGTGACACGGTATTTCCCCCTGTCAAGCTACCTTTGCCCAAGTATATCCACCGTAAAATTAAACCGTGAAATACCTAATGTTTGGTTAACCATCCAATACCATCGATAATAATAAAGTTGGAGGGTTCAAATTAAATAGTGAAGGTTTAAAATCGTTTATAAAATTAACAATTGTAATTTTAAAAGTAGTTATCATTTACTAATAAATGTGACTATACAAAACTTTTTTATACTTTGTTACATCTTGCAAGGAGGTGTATCAATTTTTTCCTTATGTGAAGGAGAATCCAAATTTTAACAATAAATCATTCATTCACTATTCGTTAGCATTATTAATATGATGTTATTACTTACCTTAATAAGACACGTACAATAAATCCATAAGGGGTACCTCATAAATTTGAAAGGTAGAGATAAAATTACTAACTATCGAACAATTGTTTAACCAAATATGTATATATTTATATAAAAATATATAGGGAAATTCTCTTTGGTAAACTCATACTTTTTAATTTTCTCAGTGGTAAACAATAAAAAAAACTTATTATCCTTGGTAAACTTTAATTAGTTATAATTATTAAATGGTAAACTAAATGAAATTATAAGCTTAACCCTAGTTAACTAAAGACTTAATGACTAATTTAGCCCTTATCCTTAATTATAGCTTTCCCCAAAAAAAACTTCAACCACCCAAAAGGTACATCCATCAACCAGAACCACCGCAACCATAGCCGCCATCGCCATCACCACCAGAACCACCTTCCAACCGTTGACATTACCACCAACAACCGACCCAACTTCACCGCCCACCCAATTCGCCCTAAACCCACCTAAAAAAGCCAATCCTCCATGAGATCCACCCCACCGAATACCTACCCTCCCTGGTCGTCGCATCTCTTCCCCTTCCTCCTCCCTCCTCGGCCGTCTCATACCCTCCCCTCCCTCACCACCCGTCCCAGCCCCCTCCCCCTCCCTCGCTAGGTGTGTTTGTCGCGCAAATATATATCATCAGAAAAAAAAAAAAAACAAAAATCCCGACCTTCAAAAGTTCAAAGCATCAATGGTGTGGTAGTCGGATCTCTGATTTCAATTGATTATCAACCTAATTGAAGGAGGAATTACAGAAATTGGGGAGATTTTGAAGTGAAATACATTGTTTAGGTAGGAGAGATTGAGGATGTAAGGGATTGTTTGGGGAGGGGTGGTGGTTCAAGGGGAAGGAGAGACGCGTGCAAGGGTGGGGGAGTCCAGCGCACCGGCGAGTGAAGGCTGAGCGCGGGGCGCCGGCGTGGGTGGGGGTAGGGTGGCTGGCCGGTGGTGATTGGGGGGGATCTTGAAAGTGAGAAAGGTAAAGAGGAAGAAAAGAGAAGAGGATGAAAATGGTGATAGATTGGGTTTGGGTGAGGGTATTTTTGTAATTTGAGTGTATTAAGTGGGATATTTTAGGAATTTTATTTTATTTTTTTTTAAAATAATGTTAACCATAGTTACGTAATTATATAAAATCATCATTAATGTTACCATTGATTTAGTAAAGATAATTAGGGTTTACCAAGGATAATAAGTTTTTTTATTGTTTACCACTGAAAAATTTAAAAAGTATGAGTTTACCAAAGAGAATTTCCCATATATATATATTTACAATGTAATGACAAAACTCAAGTAAAAGGGCTAAAAGTAAGGTGTGAAGGGTTATAATCAAATAGTGGAGGGTTACAATAAAAATAACTGCAATTCATACAAAAATTATTAACTACTAATAAATATAGAACATTGTCAAAAATGATATAAATGAAGTAAAATTTTTACAAATATAAAGAGATCTCTTACTAGTCTTTATTTTATTATCATTTTCCATCTTCATTAGCATCAATTATATGATCTAAAATATTTTTAATACAACGTTGTTATTTGCAAACTATTATATAGGGTTCCAATATTATTAAAATACATATTGTTACTAAAAATATTTCGACAGTAATTACATATATTTGATTCGAGTAAAAAAAAATCACACTTATAGCGAACACATGATTCGAGCCCGGGACCTAAATGCATGGATCTCGTATTAACTAATCAAAGTTGTAACCAAAATTGCGAGATATTCACCATATTAACAAATATATTTTTAAAATACTTATAGTACACATCGTTGTTATTTGCAAACTATCATACATGTTTCCAATACTATTTAAATTCGTATTGTTACCAATTGACAAACAGACTTACAATCGTTTTGTTAATAATATAATTGAAAATTATTGCCCATAAAATATTTTTATTTCAATTTGAATTATCATAGTAATGGACATCAAATGTTTCAAAGTTTGAAAAGCCTGATCTCTTTATTTCAATTAACATAGTAATTAATAATAGACTACAAAACACTACGGGAAAAAAATGTATTTGGCACCGGTTCAAACCCGGCTTAAGGCATCGGTTTGAACCGGTGCCTATTTGGGGGGTGCCAAAAAGGGGTTTAAAAAGGCACCGGTTCAAACCGATGCCAAAACTTGAAATTGGCACCGGTTAACCGGTGCCAAAACTGGGTTTTAAAAAATGTGGAATTGTTTTTGGCACCGGTTAACCGGTGCCAAAAGTGCCAAATATTATAATTTTTTTTTTTTTAGAACAGCAAAAAATTAAAAATCTGACTTAAATTATTTAGAACATCAAAATATAGATTGAATTTCAATCAACATAATAAAAAATTTACAATATATAATCAAAACAATTTTACAATATAGATCAATAAAGTAGTAGTTCAATTACAACAAGGAAAAAAAATATCGAACAATTAATATAATTAAGCTTCCATCTTGCTCAATATAAAAAAAAATTCGAACGATTAATATAATTACAACATATAAAAAAATTACAATATAAATAAAAAAATAAACTCAATATTCTTGCATCTTGCTTCTTCCATTTAAGATCTAACTCAAGATATCTGCACCAATTAAAGCAAAAAAAAAAACGATTAACCCAGAACATCAATTAAAAAATAAAATCCAGAAAAAATAAAAAATACAATCGAATAAAATAAATATAAAAAATAAAATCGAATAAAATAAAAAAAAATCAAAAAATTAAAAAGAAAATCAGTTGGTAAGAAAAAAAAAACCCCAGAACATCATTTAAAAACCAAAATTGAACCCAGAAATTAAAAACCAAAATCGAAAATCTGAAGAAAAAAAAAAAAAAAAAAAAAAAAACCTCAGAAAATAAAAAAATTTCGAATTTAAATCGAAAATTTAAAAAGAAAATCCCAAAACAAACCCAGAACAAATCTTGCATCTTTAACGGATCTAAATCAAGTAAAAAAAATCAACAAACCCAAAAACGCATGCATTAACCCAGAAATCGAAAAACAAAATCAAAATAAAAAAAAAAAAAACAATCGAAATCGAAAAAAAAAACCCAGAAATAGAAAAAAAAAAATCAAAATCGAAATCAAAAAAATTAACCCAGAAAAATTCACAAATCGAAAACACCCAGAAATCGAAATAGTTGAACTCGGAAAAAAATTGAAATCGAAAGAAAAATCAAAAACCCAGAAAAAAAAAACGTAACAAAAAAAACCGAGAAATCGCTGAAAAAAAAAATCAAAATCAATTGAAAGAAGAGTTTGAAATTAAGAAAATCAAAATCGAAAAACAAACTATTAAATTCGATTGAAATACCTCAAAATCCGTTTTGCATGTTGTTGTCTTCGAATTTGTTAGTGGTTTTCGAGTGATGATAGAAAGGAGGAAGAGATCCAGAAAGATAAATGAAGGAGAGGAGAGGAGAGGAAAGAGAAAGAGGAGAGGAGAGGAGAGAGAACGGCCGAATGAAATATTTAGGGTTTTGGGTAGTTATAAGGGCGGTTTTTTTTTAATATGTAAATGAACCGGTTCGTAAAGGCACCGGTTCAAACCGGTGCCCTTTTTATTATTGGCACCGGTTTGGGCTGAACCGGTGCCTTTTCCATTTGTTTAAAAACCCGCCCAATTTTGGGCCGATTTTTGGCACCGGTTTGGCTTGAACCGGTGTCATATGGGGGGTGCCTAATGCTATTTTTCTACTAGTGAAAGCATGCCGTCTTTATTTCAATAATTAACATAATCCATAAGGGGTATCTCATAGACATAAACTCAAGTTAGAGGGCTAAAAGTTAGTTATGAAGGGTTATAACTAAATAGTGGAGGGTTACAATAAAAGCAAATTTAATTCATATAAAATATTATCAACTACTAATAAATACAAAAATTTTTCAAAAATGAAATAAATGAAGTAAATGTTTTTACAATATATACCATGCAGAACCTCATCGAACACTGGTGAACGGTACAACACATTAAGATCATTACAAGATCCGGGAATACCAAAGAAGGAATGCCATATCCATAAATCCTGATCCGCAACGGCTTCCAGTATTAGCGTTGCTTTCTTGTTCCTACCGGCGTACTGCGCTTTCCAAGCCGTTGGACAGTTCTTCCATTCCCAATGCATGCAATCAATGCTGCCTATCATGCCTGGAAAACCACGCAGTTCATTTTGATGCAGTATCCGGGCCAATTCATTAGTTGTAGGGTTTCGCATGTACTCGGTTCCGAACTGGTCAATGACCCCGGCACAAAAACGTTGTAGGGCAACTCGAGCGGTTGACTGACTGATTCGAACGTATTCATCAACAGCGTCTGCAGCCATGCCATAGGCTAACATTCGTATCGCGGCTGTACATTTTTGCAGAGGTGATATGCCTAACTTTCCAGTTGCATCCCTACGCTGCTGGAAGTAAACATCACCTTCAACGACCTTGTTCATTATACGTAAAAACAAAGGTCGTTGCATACGAAATCTTCTTCTAAATTGGGTGGTATTGTACACAGGATTATCGGAAAAATAATCATTGAACAGCCTGGCATGTCCCATTTCCCAATCTCCTCTGTTCGTACCCCCTCTACGTGATTTTGAAGTACGTTGGGATTGTGTTTGGGGCATGAGGAAAGATGTGGGTTGGTATGTGAAGAGTTCATCAACGAGTTGATCATATTCTTCATTATTGGAAGAAGATGAACTTGAACTTGAACTTGATGATGGTCTGGAATACATCATGTATTAATATTATAATTTTCTTAATTGGTGTGGTTGTGGATATGTGCCATGCCTACTATATATAGCAAATAAATCAAATGAATATGTGGTTACAAATCTGAATGACCACACCAACTAAAGCATTCAAATTTTCAGCCACGGAATAGGTATACTATGCTAGTTGACAATGACAAATCTTGACAAAGTGTATTCAGAACAAAAGTGACTACACCATGTCGGTATGAATGACCTAAAGTTAAAGCATACTGACAAAGTTAATTCAGAAACATGTGACTACACAATGACAAAAATGTGACTACTGAATGATAAAGAGTTATTGCAATTTTGTTGCCATGAATGACCCAAAGTTAAAGTGAAATCAGAAAAAAAGTGACTACCCAATGACAACAATTGAATGCAACTATGTCGGTAACAATGACAACTGAAATCAACTTGTTAAACAACTTGTCATTCAATATTGGAAAATCAGAATACAAGTTTACATATGACAGTGAAATTAAACACACCACTAATACATGTTAAACATAAAAGACTACATTGCGCATAATTAAAAACTTAACTAATACAAGCGTACACCTACTACAACCAAACATGCTTATAAGCCCTGTAATTTACCCAGTAAGAAATTCTTGTACGACTCTTCTTCAGGAGTGAGTGGAGTAGGCGAATTCTTCATAGCTTGCACCATATCAAACCAGGTTTTCATCTTATGAATGTCAAGTTCCTCCCTTTTCCTCTGTTCCTTCTCCCTTTCAATTTTGATCCGCTCTTCCTTCAGAATGGCCTCCCTCTCGCGAATTGTTGCCAATTCCTTCATTCGTTCGCTAAGCTCAGACGAACCACTGTCCGAAGCTACTTCTTTCCCTTTACGCTTGGCCTTTGCTTTCTTCACACCTTCGGGTCGTTGTATTCCTCCAGATGAAAAACCATCCGTAGGGGTTTCATCCCCTCCATCATCTCTGGACCTCTTCCCACTTCCAGCACTACCTTGCTCCTCAACATCACGAACAGCTTTTCTTTCCTCCTTTGACAAGGACCATCTCAGCTTTGGCCTCCACTTTGGATCTCTATTAAGCATTTCAACAGCGTGAGGAAAAGCGAAATTACGACCTTGGGCGAGATGGAAAAGCTTCGACGCACTTTTTATACGGTCAGCTTCGTTGTAACCACTCCCTCCCTCCGGAAGTCTACCTGCTTCATCATAGCAAGATATCCACTGTAGTGTGTCTGCTGCCAACCTTCTCCAGTGCGACGTCAGACTCTTCATAGGTCTTGGTGGAAGTATATGCGGCTTCTCCGCATGAGCAAGTTGATATGCTGCGTGTACATCGCGCCAAAGGGAAGTTGCTTTCTGGCTCGTGCCTTTAATAGCATTCTCACTGATCTCCAAGTACAACCCAATCAGAGTTTCATCTTCCGCAACTGACCAAATTCGAGTCGCTCGTGCAACAACCTGGTTGGATTTCAGTTCGGGAACTGGTGGAGGATATTGCGGCGTCTCTGGTACGCTGTCCTCTTCGCTCTCATTGAATTGTGTGTTGCTATCATGTACAGTTTCAGGTGTACATTCTTCAATAACATGGTTTCATAGGGGAAACTGAGTGGGTGTCTGATACTGTGGAGATGGTTGCAAAGACGTATTGCCCATTCTTTGCAAGAACAATTGAAACTCGGGATTAGTTAGCAAATCATCACTAAAACCAGAAAATTGTTGGCGGAAATTTGGGTTGTTTGGATCCATTAAAAGATTCTGCATCACAAAACAAAAGATAAATATTTGTACTAAAATTTACTAATTTTTTACAAAAGATAATTTTTTTTTTCACATAATCACATATATACTAATTTTAATACATAACTAAATTTATATATTAAAAAAAAAATTAACCAATAATTGGAAGACTTTATTAACTACGAATTTAGTAATGTTTGAATTTAGTAATGTATGGAGAAAACACACATATACTAATTTTAATACATAACTAAATTTATATATTAGAAAAAAAAAGTAACCAATAAATGCAACACTTTTGCAACTACAAATTTAGTAATGTATGGAGAAAATATCAACAACTTTCTTCAATTACATAATGCAATTAAACAACATGGTTTTATATTTTTTTTTTTCAAAAAAACACACATATAATAATTTTAATACATAACTAAATTTATATATTAGAAAAAAAAGCAAATATATCAAATAAATGCAACACTTTTTTTACTACAAATTTAGTAATGTATGGAGAAAATATCAACAAATTTCTTCAATTGGGTTTTTCAATTAAGTAAACATGGCATATAATATTTTTTTTTTCAAAAAAACACACATATACTAATTTTAATACATAACTTAATATTACAAAAAAAAAAAAGTAACCAATAAATGCAACACTTTTTTTACTACAAATTTAGTAATGTATGGAGAACATATCAACAACTTTCTTCAATTACATAATGCAATTAAACAACATATATTTTTTTTTCAATTACATAATGCAATTACATAATATTTTTTTTTTCAAAAAATCACATATATATTAATTTTATTACATAACTTTATTTAAATAATAATAAAAAAAAAATTTACCTCAATATGGGTGTGTTGCAACAAAAATGCTCTTCAACAAATTTAAAATGCTTAAGAAAATAAAAAAGTGGAGGATTTTAAGTGATTTCGAAAATATATCAAAATATATCAAAATGCATGTCTATTTATAGAGAATTTAATTTTATGACCGTTGGTAATTTTTTTTTTTTTTTTTACTGAAAATATTTTTCAGAAAATGCAATGGGAAGATTATAACCGTTGTAAAACGGCTAATTTTGTCATTGGCCAACACCCTGAACATGCCACGTGTCGCGCTCCTACTCGCTGGCAGCCTGGCATGAACAGTACCCGTATTTTTTTTTCCAGCTTTCCTCCAGCTTGTGGGCCCCACCGAGATCACTGTTCATCAGAAGAAATGCCCATGCTATGGACATTTTCATTTTTGCCCATGGGCTTTTTCTTGCATTTTTGGTTTAGCTCACCATTGTGGGTGATGAGCAAAGTATTTGCTCACAAGAAATGCCCATGAGCATATATTTTGCTCATGGTTGTGAGTGCTCTTATAAGCTTCTTTTACATATAGCCCTAAGGGTCATCAATGTCAAGTTCCTTTAATAAATTAAGATATGCCTAATGTCTATCCTTAACATTGATAGTATATTATTCTGATTAATTTTTTTTATCTTTTTATAAAATTGCGTACACGGTCTTTTTATTATTCTGTTTAATTTGGTTTTTGGTATTTATTTGTATTTTTTTTTTGTGTTAATATTGTATCATAGAATAAAATACAAATATAAAATCAACAATCTCTCAAATTTCTATATTTAATATTTCGTTGTTGAAAATTATCTTATGTTTTTGGTTAAAAAATGATTATTGCTTTTGTTTCTTGAATTGATATTGTAATTATGTGTGAAATTTTCTTACATTTAGTAATATGTTCCACATAAACATAGTAACTACAAAATATTTATATGTAACAGATATTGAAATATAAGTAGTATAAAATCTAAATTAGTAACAACGAATCCCTTATATCGAACTTAAAATTTGTGTTTAATCAGTTACTGGGATATATAGAAGAGATCCATGTGTTTATGATTGTGAATACTACAACTTTTATTTTGTGTTACTAAAAATAAACTAACTTATCAAACATTTATGTTGATGATAGGAGAAAACCGAAGAACATTGGAATTAACGATTTGTCATTTTTCTTCAACGAAATATTATGTTTTAATTATGGAAAACGCCAAGTTCAATTAACGTATTAGGTTGATGTGAAACAAATCATATAATGGAAAACCCCAAGTTTAATTATCTATAGTGTTAAATATTAAAAATTCACATTCATCTATAAATATTAAAATTAAACACTAGAATAATAAAAACAAAAATCGTAATCGGCGAAATAGATCTCCAAATTGCTGTTACACATGCAATTCTCCAGTTTAATTCGGATCACCCATCATCTTTCCAGGGGTAATTCTCCATTTTAATTACATTTCTTCAGTACTGGAATTAAACTCCAATTTCGTGATTACGAACCCTAGAAATTATTAGGGATTTCAAGGGATGTGAAAAGAAAATAAAATAAAGAAATTATTAAAAATATGGAGCAAATTGTGTACACAAATCCAGAATATTGAAGATTAAAAATATGTAAATTATTTTCACAAACAAATCTGGGAACAAAATTATAGAAGAATAGATGAACATTATGAAGAACAATGGAGGAAAGAGAAGAACCATATAAATTGGGGATTTGTGAAACGAAAATTAAAAATAAAAATCGTAAAAAAAAAATTAAAGCAAATTATTCCATAAATTCATAATATTAAAATTTTTGACATGTAAAGTATTTTATAAACCAAATTTGGATAAAAAATTTAAAAAAAAATAGGAACATGAAAAACAAGAATAATGGAGGAAAGAGGAGAGAGAAGAGAGAAAATTAGACCCAAAAAAGGAGCTGGTTGAAATGAGAGAGGAGAGAGAGTGGGGTGGTTGGGGAGAGTGGGGACCAAGTTTATTTGAAATTTGAAAATAAAATTTCAAATGAAATTCAAATTTTTGTTTTTTTGGACTTTAATGAACAACCAATGGAAAGATGACACATCACTGGTGTATGTCTGGCCCACATACACTCAGTGTATGTGTAGCCTTAGCCTGGTTGCACATCATGACAATTACTAGTAGAAGTTTTAAACTACTTGGTAATTTATTTTCACCAAAAATATTTACTTCCCTTTGTTAATTAGGCTTTCATTTTGGTTTAGCAATGTCACCCAACTTTAATGAGGGTTGGGGCTTGGGACTTGCAATCAAATTAATGTTTTATGTTCCTCATTTTCATTTGTTCTCACATGTGAAATGTAATATTGTAAACTTTTTGAGGAAGTAGAAATCTATACATCTATACAATATATTAAAAGGTGTTCTACAAACCGTACATGCGTCACATGACAACTTTAACTTCTATCAAAAGGCCACATGTACATATGTCGTCTCATTAACTTCTACTCCGTACTAGAATTGTGCTATGTAGGATGAGGACACATGTAAATATGTTTTTTTTACACCGGATAAAACAAGTTTAATAATAATAAGAAAGCGAATTAAAAGAAGAGGACAGGGAAACTAAGTTGTTAGCTGCTTCTTTTAGGCAGATTATGAGCTCATTCCACCTTTGATCTTGATTCTTTTCGAACCACACACCAGTTTAGAGATTTTGAGTTGTTTTTCATCTCGTTGATAGTCCACGCCATACTCTTATCACCAATATCATCCTGCTGCAGAAGATCCACTAGGCCCGAAGAATCCATCTTATTTAATTTATCCATGACTTTTTTTTTTTAACTAATTATTGATTATATACAAGAAGCTAGATTATAAATGAAGCTATTGAACTAAACAAGCAACCGAGTCCAACTATTAGTGTTTGTTCTTACTTTTCAGTACGTGAATTTTCTGAATTTTGAGATATAACATAAATTTATGATATCCTTTGCTTTTGTTTGTTGACAGAAATTGATGGATTTGTTAGAATTTCATACCTATTTTCATTGATAGATGTGATACACACAAGTAAAGTTATACGGTATATGAATCATGCATGATGAGAGATAGTAATTCTGTTTAATGACTATTAGACTTAGTGTAGTTAAGCCGGATGAGGTTACAACATGTATTGTTACATTGCAGAGATTTATATTTTGGGGCTTAACACTGGGATCATGAACTAAAAGTAAATTTTGTAAATGATTACAACAAAATACCATATAACATAGTCATTAATTAGGCATTAATGACAACTAGTAGTGACAGCTGCAATTACTCTTCTCAGAATGCTAGTCATTTAGACCCTTAGTAGTGATTAATAAAAGTAGATAAATAATAAATCTTACTCACTCTGTTCCTTAGAGCATGCCCACTGGTTAACCAATTGGATTGGTGATATGTCCATTTTATATAGTGTTTTACCCCCGTCCCTTGGTCGTTATTAGTAGTGTTTTTGGCTCTTTCGGGCCACTTTTATTACTAATTTGTGTGTTCTAGTGTTTTCGTAGTCTTAGTTGTATTTTACAGGAGATTGCATTCTTAGAGCATTTTCCCGGGCTTTATGGATCAACTACGAAAGCTAGAAGGACACGACCACTTTTGGAGCCCAAGATCGGTGAGAGCTGGTGATTAAGGGCTCGGTAATTGGGATCCCGAGGCATTTGGACCAAGTACTTAAGACTCGAGGAGGAAATCCGGATTGGGCCGAGAAATCAAGCCCAATCGAAGTCCAGGCTCAAGGAGAAGCAACCGCCCGATCGGGCTACCTCTAGCATGATCGGGCGCGGCAAGACTAGTAGGCTGAGCTTGCTGAGGCGCGCCCGATCGTGCGAGCTTCTAGCACGATCGGGCGATGCTTCTTGGGAAGAACGCGAAGAAAAAGGCGCGCCCGATCGGGCGCGCGTTTTTAGAAGACCTGATTAAGTTTAGTTTTAATTCCTGTTTTAGAAAACGTTTAAATACGATTTTGTACGGAATTATTAGAGTATCTTCTTCCTTAGACTTTCTCTCTCTACTGAGGATCTTTTCTCTCTCTTAAATCTTCTCTCAACTCTTGTTCTTGATTATTTTTCCCATTAATACAGATTAGTTTGGTAACGATTTCTCTTCTCTTAATCTTAGTTATTTACTTTATTCTTTTTATCATGTCTTGCTTTATTGCTTTGATTAGTTTAGTTTTTAATATGTGTGAGTAGTTTTATTTCTAGGGTTTAAGGGGATCCATAAATAATATGAAGGGGTAAATTGTCGTTGTTAACTATCAATGTTAGATTTATTTCCTATTGATTAATTTAATGCTCTGTGACTAGATTATGCCTATATTTTATGCATGAGTTTGACAACATTGATTTGAGATTCGACAGATGAGAATTAATGTTTAGGTCTAGTTTCTATAGGCAGATTAATTTATAAATGGTTAAGTCGAGATTCGAGAGATGAGATTTGATACCGGTAAATTAATTGTGTGATTGTAATACGTAGCGAAAGCCCTTTACAATCTGGTTAATTGATGCATTGATGATTGACTATTATTGGTTATTGGTATTGCATGATAATTTCTTATTGAATTGTTTTAACGTTTTACAATTGCGGCTTGTAAAAGTGTAGCAATATTAAATTGATGAATCGAGCAGATGTTAATTTGATATTAAAGGATATTTTCAATAAGAACTTAGATCTAGTAAATTGCGAAAGCCTGTTAGATCTATGGTGATTAATAAATTGCGAGAGCCTGTTAATCGTGTTATTTATTGCAATGTTAATGATTGATTACTATGTTTTACCCTGGAATATTATTTATTGGTGAACCTATACCCTAGATCCTTTCATATATTGTTTTCTCTCTATTCTCAATCTTAGTAGTTTAGTTTCTTGTTCGAATATTAATATTGGTTACTTAGATAATTTAGATTATAATAATTAATTAGGAGTAAAAAGACTTGTTTCCCTGTGGAGATCGACCCTACTTTCCAATCTACTTTAGTTAGAGGACTTAGGAATTATTTTTTATTAGGGGATACGACTTTACCTTGTCAGTTGGTTATTAGGAGAGAGAAAGTGAAAAAATAATAAAAAAAATTGAAGAGAGAAAAAGTTGGGGGAATATTTCAATA